AGTGAGCTTTCTGTTTTGCTTTATACGAGCACATGTAGCATTTGAATTGCGGCTCTTTACCGCACTCCCAGCGCTGGTGGTTCAACAATGAGCTCTTCAATTTGTAATGACGGCCGCACCTTGTACAGCTTATTGCTAAGGAAAGCACACACAACACACATACCACATAGAGTTTCCAGAATAATAATAATTATAAAAATAATAAAAAAAAATTGGTTTGTAATCTAACCGGACCCAGTTAGTACATCCATGCCCATTATTAGTTAGAAAAATAATTTAGGATATATACAGTAATTCTGAATTTGTTTTTACACAAATAAATGAATAATACAAAATGAATGATTTCATATAAATCAAAAATAGCGTAGGTAATACTAATACAAAATATAATTCTCAACTGTGGTTTAGAAACCAAATGTACATATTTTATTATCCTTTTTTTGTTTATTTTCTTTACTTATAATACTCATGAAGTAACATGCTAATGATTACTGTGATCAGTTTTTAAATTATTATAAATGTATTAAATTTTTTTAATTATTTCATTTTAATAGAATTATCCTTAGAAAATATTAAGAAAAATAGTGCGATCTCCCTTCATCAAATGAAAAAAAATAGAATAAAAATGATAAACAAAACCCATATAAGATACAAACCACCAAGATAATTATATAACATACAATGTAAACAAAAAGCAGGGCTGGACAATTTCACTATTTTTTAAGTTAAGTAATATAGAATAAAATAAATTAAGTTGAGTTAAGTTTTAAAGTTACCTGATTTTTTTAAAAGTTTGTTAAATTATAAACTCGAAGTTTATTTATTATTAAGTTAGAGATTAATGGATAAAAAAATTAACTTTATAGACTTGGTTAAAAGATAAATTTTGAAATTTTGTAATTTGGTTATTTATTATATAACTATACTTCAGTATTTGGTATATTTTACATCTTTACATCTTTTGTAAATGTTTCCTCTATATAACTATATCGTAATTTATAAGCATGAGAATTACAAATTCAAACTGGTAATGAATATTTAACGATTAGACATTTTAAATTTTCCTTTATAAAGTCTTGCAATTTGTTATGATGTACAGTATCTCAAATAAAAGTATAAATAAATAAATTTATCAAGTCTGATAGCAATATATTTTCATTTTAATTCATTCAAAAATCTTGAAATTAAAACGTTATGAACATTATAAAAGTATCATATTAATTTTAAGTTAATTCTAAAAACAAGTTATGAGTATTTATTGCCCAGCCTTGACAAATAAATATAAATGGTAAATCATTTTCTAGACTTGATAAGTCAGAGGCTTTTCCTTAACAAATTTGATACATTGTTAATCATGATTCACAACTTTATCAAAAGCAAAATAATATACTTTACACGTTTCTATAAAATGCATACCTATATATTTCATTGTTTACAATTCTCATTACCTACACAGAAAATTTCAAAACTCATGAAAGAATAATTAACAAATGCTATTCCATACAAACTTAAGACAAAGTATGAATTTGAGTACAAAATATGTAATTTTAAAATATAAATATTTATGCATGTCAGTTATTGTAATACAATACAATTATATACAAAATAGTCTTTAAGATATCATACTTTGTCATTTACTCGATTGAATTGGAAACTAAATAAAAAAAGTTTCAATAAAAACGATTTAAATTCATTTTTTATAAATTGTATCAAATTTTAATTATTTAGGTATTGAAATAAGTAAATAACATTGATAATGTAAGCTTTAAAATTAATTATAAATTATTTTTATTTTATATGAATATTAAGTGGTCCATGAAGCATAATCAACTCCAACACCAAAGTATTGGGAAGACCCAATCTTGGATCTAGCCTATTGCCAATCTGTTAAATTGATCTACAACATACCACCAACCCATTAAATTGAAGTAGTCTTACTAAAAATATTTTAGCTAGTAGCAGGTTGAAAAGAAAAATACCTATATAGAAGTATCCATGATCAAAATAAATAAATATTTAAGCTGGTATACCAGTATAATAATGGTTTTCCCCATCTTACACATGTTTAATATAGTTAGAAACTTGCTCCATATTTCAATCACTGTAATTGGATTTTTAAATAAAGTTATTTTCGATTAAGTAATTGTTGTTCACTAATAATTATAATTTTAAAAAAAAACTTTAGACAAAACCAGATAATTTTGTTTTTTAATTGTTATTGTATGTAATACTACCTCAATTTTAATAACAACACAATGAATGAATTACTGAAAAGTATATGGCTTTATTCTATGTGTGGAAGCTTGAGAAAAACAAATGGAAAAAAAATTTAGTTTATTCTATCATTTTGAAGAATGTATGTAATTTGTGAAAAAAATATTATTTGGTGGTTATTAAGCACAATAAAGTTTATATGTGTAATGAGAGAACTATTTCATAAAATTAATTAATTATATAGTTAACCATAAATAATCAATAAATATCAATAATAATAATTTAAGTACCAAAACTAATAAAAGTTAACATATTATGGCAAATAATGTCTTACATAAAGAAGAATTAATTAATAAAATAAAAACGTCTTTAAATAAAACAATAAGTATTTAATTTTTTTATTTCTATCGCCAGTTCATTTGTGTGTTAAATTTATTTAAGTCTTTATTGATTAGTTCTAGGTTTGTAATTGGGTAAAAAAAAACCATTAATTGTTTTTCACTAAAAGAATATTTTTGTGAAAAGTATATACTGTTTGTAAGCAAATCATTGTTAAAAATTATAATATTCAATATGACATGAAAAATTACTAATGCTTTTATTGTTGATCTAACTTTTTTATAATAACTTTAAACAAAAAGTAGAATTTCTGTAAAAAAATCATTGATTTAAAAACATTCATTATAACAATGCTATTTAATTTATTAGTGTGAAAACCTTAAAAAGAAAGTACAAGTCTGCAAATCTTAAAATCTAAATGAGCTTATAGGAAACATTGAAGATCAAGTAGCAAACATTCCAGCTGAAGAATTGCATCAATTGAGCCAAAGCACAATGAACAGAGTTCAACAAATATGTCTACAGGATTTTGGTAAACTGACAAATTATAAAAGTATATTAGAGGTAAATAATACAAATTTACATTTATTTAAATATTCTAATTGTTAGTTCTATTAACTATTTAAAAACTAAATTGAACAAGAATTATTTTTTGTTAATTATCAAGATTCAGCAATAACACCCTGTATATATGTTTACATAATGGTAAGTTTTAATCTTTTGGAAAAACAAGAAAGATTTATCAAATTAAGAAATACGTTAAAATAATAATTAATTATGTTGAATATGTATTACATCATCTTTCCAAATATTAGAACTGATAATTCATCATGGATGTCTATAGATATTTTTATTTTTCAAAACTACAAGTAATAATAGCAGTAAAATATATTTCACTAAGTACCTAACATTTATATTGGTCATAAGAAACAAACTTTGTGCAAGTCAAATGGTCAATGATAAACCTGTAAAAGATATCTAAGAAAGGCCAAAGATAAGAAATGTTTTATTATATCCTGTACAGCAAGTGGTGTCAGAAAAAAAACATTGTTGCTCATTAAAAAAAATATATACAAAAACAAAGAATTCTATTTAACAAATTTTTATCTAGAATTATTTAATATTGATTTCTGACTTTTTTTGTATTTTAACTAGATAGAATTTACAAAGAATAAGATTATTCCATTATGCTATAGGTTTGTTTGTTGTGAATAAAAAATGCTCCAATACATTAAAACATATTTAGTTTAAAATAGAGTGTGTATTTTTAAATTCACATTACAAGTCACAGTAATATTAAACAATACAATTTATAATATATTATATCTTATAACTTTTAGTCCACGTGACTAAAATTAAATCTTATATAATAATAAAACAAATAAAACACATTAGTAGATATTATTACCTATTATCCATCAGTCGTTAATATTTAGTTGGACTTTAATCACACATAGTAGATCTGTTTGTAATACAATTTAAATCATAATCTTGTCTATATTTAAACAGTGTATAAGATAAGAAATGCTAGTAATCTGGTCAAATTCTCAGAGGAAATCTTCACATCGTTATTAAAATAAATTGTCAGATTTTAATGTAGTATACATAATCGAGCTAGATAACCTTCATTTATCATATAATGGTGAAGAACGCAAGATATAATATAATTATTTTAAAAAAAACTTACTTATGTTTACCTGTAATTTCATTTTTTGCTAAAATACAATGATCTAAGAAATAATAAATAAATTGAAGCAAATATATATATTTCTATATAAAAAAGCAACCACAAAACCAAGCTTGGATACATGCAAATAAAATAAACCATAGGTACTCATAAAATCATGCAAATTGTAATACAGTGTTAGTAGAAAAATTTTTTGTTAACCAACTTGGAAAGTATAATGTAAAATTCTCAAAAATACATAAACTTATACTTTGGTCATGAAATATTACTTTAGTATGGGTACATACAAAACTAAACAAAAATTTATTGGGAACATACTTATGTATAAATATTTTTTGTGATATTTTATATAAAATTACAATCAATTAATTTAATTTTCAATTTGTAAAAATATCTTAACTTAATTATATAACTATTAAAATGTATTATTTATATATTTTTTTTAAGTAGGTAGGTATTTAATGTTTATTAAATTAAATTTCAAATCAATGTAAATACTTTTAAATAATACAAAGAAATGTTTTGTCATTATATTAAGAGTTAGGTATATTATATAAATTTATATTTTTTTGTTAATGGATACTTTTGAAAAAAATACAAATTTACATGTACCTCATCCACAAAAACATTTTCTTTGTCCCTTATTCATGCATAATGGATACACATTTAATTTTAAAATTAATTATTTAATTTTATCCATTTGAATTTTAATTATTTATTGTACGCCTATTTTTACAATTAATATAAATACAAATCTTACCTTTACAATCCATTGGTGTATTAACAGTACTGGTGCTATCTTGATTTGTTGTGTCTAATTGCCACGAATTTGTTTGAGGCACTGCTAAAATATAAATAAAAACAACAGAAGATAAGTAAGTATAAAATAAACTGACAAGGTTATTATTTAAAAATGTATGGGTACATTTAATTACATGAGTAATATACCCTTAGACAAAATTATGTATCTTAATTGTATCCTTCAGATACATTTTAATAGAAATTAGAGTAACAATATCTTATATGTTTCGTATAAACAAATAAAGTTATCACTTATGTATAGTAAAAAAATGTTTTCAATACATTATTTTAGTTAAATATCATTTATTTTAAATTATTTACCGGTGTGATTGGTGTCCCCTTGTGAAGTTCCAGGCTGTGATAATTCATTTTCATCAAATTCTTCTTCCTCCTCTTCTAAAGCCATATCTTCAACACTATCGTCATATGACATTTCTGTCAAACACTCTTGTCGGTCACCAGAAATTGATTCTACTTTTGGTTTAATTGTCTGATTTTCAGTTGTCTTAAGCACTTCTTTGTCAGGTGAACACGATTTACGGTAAGGTTCTGCTTTAATTACCTTACTCACTGAAGAAGGGATGTTATTATTATTAGTTGGCGATTTTTCTACTCCCTGTGGTTCAGATTCAGTCATACTATCATCACCATTATCCGGATGATGATCATCTGATCCATTTGTTCGTTGTAATTTCCGTTTCTTGCTGGTTGGAGATAAACTACCCTCTCTTGGTCTTGAATATGTACGTACAGTTTCATTTTGGCTCCAAATAGTGGGCGAGTTAGAACTAACTGATGATAAAGAAGGTGGTTGTTTTCTATGGTCAAAACGTTTAGATACTGGGTCTTCAAAATCTGAATTATCACGAACCCCGATACCAGCACTTTCTGTCAAACCTTTGATTTGAAGAGATTCAGCAGCTTTCAAAAATGTACCGAGTTCTTCTTGAGAAATATTGACTTCACCTCGATACATATAATCTAACATTGACTTTAATTCTTGAAATTTGATATCTTTCAAAATTAAGATTGGATGCTTTTCTTGATGTTGACTTAATAAAACCTTAAACAAAAAAAATTAAAAATAATGTTAACATTTATTGGGTAGGAACTTTAGGTATATACTATGTAAATACAATTTACAACAAGTATTTATAAATAAGTCTAATAAATATTGTTAGAGGTTTCAAAAACCTTGGAAAATCAAATAATTTTTTTATAAAAGTACCTAATAAAAAAGAATAGTTTTTATATCACACTAATAAAATGTATTGACACAAATTTCATATCAAGTGGATAAATATATATTATAATAACTAACCACTAGTAATAACCAACATAGGCAAATATGTACAACTAGGTAATAGAGTAAATATTTTATACAGAATCTACAATTTTTTCTATTTGGTAATATCAACAAATGTATTAGGTACTAAAATAATTGATAGCCATTAGAAATATTTAGAATCAATTGATCACAACACAGGTTACCTAGATGATAGCTCAAATGTTTTTAAACAAATAATGAAAATGCAATAGGTAGGTAGGTAGAAGTTAAAAAAATTAGTAATTTGGAAATATACTTTTAAACTAAAAATGTTATAACTTTAATAGAAAAATATTATTTAAACAAGTACCTAAACAGAGAATCTAATGAACAAAAATCTTATTATTTCAGTTATTTCCTTAAAAAAAAAAACAATATTATTAGGCTATCTATATTATTTAATATTTATAAAATGCCAGTAGTTAATAGTAAAGACTGAACTATGCTAAACTATTAGGAACAAAGAGTAGGTATTTTGAAGAGTTTTCCAATTTAATTTACTCTGGTTAAGAAATCATAATAAAAAATTCATTATTATTTTTTAGCTAGGTAGTTTGAGTGTTTGTGGAATTTCTAATACTTAAAATTGTACATCATTAATTATTTCGGAATAACTTTCACTTTGTGTATTTATATAGAATGAAATGTCTACCTATGTTAGGATAACAATATAGTCAAATTAGTTAATCAACAACATTTGTAATAATGTAGGTACCTATATGCCTCAAATTATTGTATAGAAATGAACTAAATAATTAATTTAATGTAAAAATCTTAGTGTAGATCTTAAATTAATCAGTCAAGTGCAATTCTATTTTATAAATATTGTGATATATTTATTGGGTACTTCAAGGTTAACCTTAGCACGACTATTTTAATTTCCATGTGATATTCATCCGGAGTATCGTAACTAATGCAATAATCACACCAAGGCAACATGACTATTTTTTTAGTGTTTCTGTTAGGTTACCGATTGGGTGCCTTAATATCAGATGTTTTTCTTTTACCACATTTATCATCATAAATCATTTTATGTATAAATAAATACTAATCTAACCTCAATTTTAAGGTAATGTTTATTTGTTTAGATTAGGTATTATTCTAATACTTAATTAATACAAAACTTTCGATTTAATAGAATAATATTTTATAATTATCTTATATATTCGACTTAAGTCAACAATTTGGTTCTTAAAATCTTTTAAATTAAGTTAGGTAATGCAGATATAAGATTATGTAGGCACCTATATTAATAAATTATAAAAATTATGGAAGTAGGTACTGATTTATGATATTATTGTAGTTGAGATAACCCAATAAACATTGAATGACTCAAAAATTATAACCAAATGTTATAACTCGTTAAGATACAAAATCCTACTTAAATAATAGGTACACTACTACATTTAGAAGGTTCATATGGAAAATTTAACTAGGCGCTTAATAAAACTATTCAAAGAGAATGTACTAGTATGAATATGAAAGCAGAAATGGTGGAGGGCTTTCAAGAAAGTGAAATCAGAAAGGTATGTCTAGAAGGGTAGGGCTCTGCTGAAAATATTTTAGGAAGCAAGTTTAAAAAAAGGAGAAAGGAATTTTATGGAGGAATTAAAAAAAGAAAGATCAATAATGATTTTTTTTTATTAATTTAAATGTTTTTATATTTACATTTCCACTACCTACCTGTCTATAGGTAACAATTTAAAATTATTAATTTTCTAAAATACTTTAAGGAGGATAATTCAATTAAAATAAGAACAAATAGGTAGTGTATTAATAGATTATGTAATATAATATAAAAAAAATTGCATATTGTCAAGAATTTATGCAAAATATATATTAACCAATTTAATGTAATTAGGTACGTTTTAAATGTTATGACATATTAAAGACTATCAACCATATTATGTTCAACAAGGAAATAAAATAACTCGATAGTAGAAAATCTATAGTATCAATATATGACTTGAATCATTTAATTTTTATTACAAAAATAATTATGAATGTTAACAAGTATTTAAGCTATTTTAAATAATTTGATACTTTTACATTAAAAATATATTGAACCAACCTAAATATTTTAAATGGATACCAAATTTAGTAGGTATACCTAATTAACTTGTATCGAGCAATCAACTAATTTGCATAAGTAAACTTAACTAATTGAATTGATACAATTACCATGTTTCAAAGTTGTACGTGACTAAATACATTTTGATAGTACATTTTAAATTACCTATGTACCTATATAATAATAATAGGTTTAGGCAAGGGTTAAGGCATCAAAAATGTGTATATTATCATACAATACCCCATACAATACCAACCTAGATAAAATTATGTTGCATACATAGTAATATGAACAATTTTCAATAGGGCTATGAAATTTGATGGAAATCATGTTAAATTTTATCTCAATACGTCCGTATTTAATGTTTTCCCCAAGCGAGTACTCAGTTACCGACTTGTTATCAATTCTGCAATACCTAGAGTCAAAGTAAAGACATACCTATTATCTATAAAACAAAGTAGGTACCTACTTATGTGTCTATTCCACATTCGATTCTAAGGTGTCAATTGAATATTAATGAAAAAAAGTATGCTACCTGCCTACTAGACAAAATAAATATACATTTTGTGCATGCCTATACTCAATTAATTGGATTTTAAATTATTAATATATACATGCGTGCGCGCGCGTGTATTAATTCGTCGTTATTATTATTATTATTATTATTATTATTATTATCATCATCGCCGTCGCCGTAGTAGTCCGTTGGCAATAAAATATTTGCCAATTGTAGAGAATTCGATCTATGCGAAAGAAGAGAGAAAAAAAAAGAGAAATTTCCTTTGTCATTGCATTGTGTGCGCGAATAACGGGACAGGAAAAAGGAATGAAAAAAAAGTGAAGGGGTGTGGAACTGGTTTTCATACCGCTTGGTGAAAATCATGTGCAGACACCGTACTACAAACACACGCGCGTAAGTAGGCCAAAACAAAACGGAAATGCCCTAAAAAAATTTTATATATACACACAAAATAATTAAAATCCGACCGTCGTAAGATCCTGGTAGCGATTACTAATCAATACATGAATAATATCATAATAAAATGGACGGAATTTTATCGTCTCACGAACGATACGACTCGAGTGTCGAGGGAAAATCGAGGGGAAACGCCGGAAAAAACGCAGACTTACAATATTATAAAAATAATAACACGTCGCAACCGTATTGCCTAAATATCGGCCTAAAAATCACGTAATCCGGCTACACCGGGGGGGCTGGCTATTGTTATTGCCATTACATATTATTATTGTCATTTTTATCGCTGTCGTCGAATATTGCACAGGCATAATATTGCACTTACCCCCAAGTACGGACTGCAGGCGGACAACACGACTTTGTGAGCTTTCAGGTATCGTCCCTCGGCGGCCAGCGTGCAATCCACAAGCGTGCCGCTTTCCAGGAGACTGTCGAACACCGAAATCAGTGTCCTCTGGTGGTTGTTCCATCGCAGGCAAAACTGTTGGCTGACGGACATGACGACGTGTAGTGGCGGTGGTTTGTGCGCGCCGCGGCCTTTGGTCTTTCACACGTTTTCACGGACGGGCGGCGGGGCGCCGGGATCGGACGTCGGCGGCGGTGATGATGATGATGACGACGATGACGGCGGTGATACTGATAATGATATGGGTACGGGTGCACCGCGCCGGGGAGTGACTACGACGACGATCGGTCCGCTACGCGAAACTCGGTACGCCGGATACTGTTGTACTGGCGTTGGATCTACGCGTCCGATGCGCCGTTCTACTGGATCCGCGGCATCGCGACGAGTGGAAAAATTCGACGGCGGCGCCGATAGCGATATGCACACCACACACAACGGTTCTCGGTCGGTCGGTCGGTCGGTCGGTCGGTCGCGGTCGTCGTTCTCGGTGCAGGAAAGAATAAAAAATATCTAATATCACAATGACAAAATATTTTATGAAGTCGGCTATTTTTTATTGCGCGTACAGCGGCGGCATGTACAAACGAGTTGATATTATTTATATTATTATTGTGATCGTTACTATTATTATTATTATTATCCTACCGTGTATAATATTATTATATATATACTATATACACACACACACACACACACAATGATATTGGTTATTATCACACGCGACGTGTGTGTACGCTGCGCTGCTGCTGGTCGGCTCGATTAAAATGCTGATATAAATATTAAATATATATATATATATATATATGTATTGTTATATTTAATTGTAATAATGATAATAATAACAATGTTCAGATATTAAACGTCGGTCGTGTTGTTATCGTCGCCGTTGTTGCCCGGACCCGTTTTTCGAAAACGCCCGGTGTGGTACGCGGACGGCGAGACGGACGCGTTTCTTTTTCGACTACTACGACACCACCACAGCGGCAGATCTACACGACGGCCGACGATATTATTATTTTCGTCCGTTTGGGCAACACAACACGTACACACGCGCACGCACGCGAATCCACTCTCGCACGGACAGCACACGCACACACACACACACGCGCGCGCACTCGCAGAGGCACACGCACACGCACACCTTAAAACCGATTCGGAACCCGTACGATGGAAATACGCGCTCGCGTGTGTTGTGTGCGTGTGCGTAACGCGGGCACGCGGCGAAGAACAACGCGTCGACGACGGGTTAGGGAGGGGTGCGGACGGGAGAGGGAGCTGTGGAAAAAAACAAAAACGGAGACCGAACTCGACGCACAAGCGCGCGCGCGCGCGTCGGAGCACACCAGGTTCGCTGTTTTACGGCTTTCCGCGCGCCAGGTTCGCTGTTTCACCACGCGCGCGGATAGCGTCGGCGGCCCGTCGTGCGTGTGTGTGTGTGTGTGTGTGTGTGCGTAATACGCCATAATGGATTCGTGCAACCGAACGGATGTTGGGGTCGGGCGCGCGCGCGCGCGCAAGCGGCCGTATCCGTCCCAACGTTGGCAACGGTTTCCCGCGGCGCAGTGTTTCGATTATAGTCTATAGAGCTGCACTCGGCGTTCGCGACGTTTGCCCGTACGGTTTGCGAAACGGCAAAGAAAACGCGCGCCTGCTGCTATTCTCGAGTGCTGTACAATGTTTTACCGTCGACTAGGCAGGGCTATAAGGGAGCGAGTGCAGTGGGGTGCAAAATTGAAACATATGTATATGTATTATTTTTATAATTAAATTGTTTCAAAAATATATTTTATATCCATCTCTTTATCACGTATAAATTACAAATTATTTGTACAATTTGTTTAGTTAAAGGTCTAAAACATATACATACAATTGTAAAGTTTTCATAATACATTTAAAATATACATAATTAGTAATTACATAGGTAATATATCTAAATAATAATTAAATACCAATACACCAATTTTATTGAGACTTTCAATTATAATAATAATAATAATAATATATTTTATATAGTGGTGTACACGCATACTGGAGAGGGGGTATTCACCCGCACTTGAATTTTTTACGACATAAAAACGTGAAAATGTTGTTATGAAACATATGTATACATTTGTTTTTCATTTAACTGCTTTCCAATTGTAAATTTCAGTATAGATGACACGTATTATATTTATTTAAAAATTTTATAATACTTATTTAAAATATAAATTTAATATTCACATTTAGCTTCATAGTTTTGTTATAATTCAATTCTATGAACTAAGCTCAATGACATCATCTGTGTACAAACAAATTACAATTATGCAATATGCATCATGATTGTTGAATGAGCTAGCAACCATAGATGCAATGTAAATAAGGGTGGCTAAGTCCTCGAGCACCCATTGATATTTGTTTAAAAATCCATAAAAACTGATTCAAATATTGTAAAAAATATAAAGTAAGAAAAATTAATTCGAAAATGTTTTTATTTTAACGAATAAATATAATACACTAGCTGCTGTATAACCTGTCTTCGACCGGGAAAAAATGAGAATTAATATTTGAAAAATGCATTATATCGGGAAATTTCAGTTTTAGTGTACTTCAGTTTAGATGTTAAAGCTCTTGGTAAATTTCTGAATTTAAAGTACTCTCTAAATTTCCCAGGTAAGTATATCCAAGAATCATGAGCAATCCCTCAAATTTTCGTCAAAATTGCTACAGTTATTTTTGAGTCAATACTACCATAGCCTATAGGCAATAAACTTATAGAATAATCATTTTATAAATCCATTTTCATATTTGTTTTGAGGCCATAAACATGACGATTTGATGCATGCTTTTACCTCATCTGCCCGAGTAACTATAACGGCGAACATTTATAAACAAAAAATGTTCAATTTTATTCATGAATCTCAAAATCTTCGAGGAAGCTCCTCTCTAAAATAGGAATTTTGGAAAATTCTTTCTTAGTGCACCTTTACATGGTGGTAAAAAGGTATTATACAAATTTAAAGTCTCAAGCTATCATAGCGTAGGCTCATTTCGTTCTTGATCAGTCAGTTAGTCAGGATATGTTCAATTGTATGTATCTATATAATACATAGATTTATGGATAATATTATGAATGAAACAACAGATAATATTCATGTTTAAGTTAATAATATGATTAAATATTGTCAATGATAATTTAGATGTAAGGAGTTTTTGATACAGGATTAAGTATTGACTAATTATTATCTGCCTTAGTTTTTTTCTTGATTACTGATTCTAACTCAGTTGAAACTGCCAAGTACCAATAATAAACTGCCGTAGTGTCCATGGTCAATGTTATGACGGTACTGAAAATATAAATTAGCATAAGAGTGGCAACATTTCTGTTATTAACTATGAACAATGGATGATATTAAAGCCTTATATACTATTTTTTTTAATGTCGGAGAGGGTTATTCACATATAATAGAGTACCCAATAATTTATTGAGATCTTGGCTCCTATGATAGCAATACAATATATTATTATTATTTATTGTAATTGCAAGTACCTACATATATTATAATTTACTTTAGAGCAGTGGTTCCCAACATTTTATGAGCGTGAAAATAACATTTTAAATTCAACTTTTTGCAACGCTTAAAAGAATTATAATAATTGTAAAAAAAACTCCTTTATATTAAAACTAAATTATAATAAAAAAATAATGAAAAAAATAAATAACACGTCATATAAGTTTACTGATTATTTATAATATTCATAAGAATTTCTTCCACGATTTTTTTGTATTAAGTATTCAATTATTTTGTTAAAATTTTTTTTCTGAAAAAATACGTGAATAATTATTTATGCGCTCGCAACCTACTATATAAAAACCTCCGCATAATAATTTGGGTCACGACCTGAGGTTGGAAACTGCTGCTTTAAAGTAAAAACAGTTTATAGATACTAATTGTACTAATATATAATATTATTTAAAAAATCATGTGTTTTAATGTATTTTAAAGTCTTTTAATATGATCAGTTATTGAGCTTGGAATAAACTTAGAACGATTATCCAAAAGTATAAAAAATAAATGTGCGTACCGGAAGATTGAAATGTCTTATACATTAATTTAAAGGAGTGCCTACTCTAAGTATATTTTTAAAAAGAACGTGATTTCAGCCACCATCAATTCAAGCACCGAAGCACTGATTTTATGATTACTGGAGTATACAATTGTTAAATTCTATAAACATTTTCAATAACTGACAAACGTGAAACGATAATTTAGTTTATAATTCTATAGATAATTATTATTTATCCTATCAAATGTCTATGAACCAGTATCATATGTCTCTTCATCGATTGATTATCAGTAAATTTTTTGTTGCAAATAAGACATTTAAATTTTGGTTGTACTCCACATTCAAATTTAAGATGTCGCCAAAGCGAGCGTTTATTTTTGTATGATCTTCCACAGTAGTTGGAGCAAAAAAATCTTGATTCATTTTGGTCTGAAAAAAATATCATTAATACTAGGTTTGTATATTTTTAAAATTAAAATAGTTTGCTAGCATAGGTTACAATAATAATATAAAATAGTAAACTAATAGCGCAATGCTATACAAACGCATACAATATATATACAAAAAAAAAACTAAAATAAATTCTTCAATATATTTATACAGAAATAACTGTATTTATACATTTTTTTTAATGTATGGTTACAGCAGGGCATATTTTATCATACTAAGTACGTGGTACAAGTGCCCCCCCCCCCCAATGAAAAAAAAACGTTGAGACTGAAGGGTTGGTTTCATCTTTACCGGTGACCTACGAGTATAATATTATCTCTAGTAGACACTTTTACATATACGTGCCACCCACTAAATATTAACTAAAATATGCTGTGGATTACAGTTAGAACTACTTATGAGAAACCTTGTTTAAAATGTTTTATTCTTCATTACAAAAATAAAACGTTCTATGTTTTGTTAGCTACAAAGTAATTTGCAAATGTTCATGATTTTGATGGATTTTGTGAAAATTGAACTTTAAATTTAAATGTGTATAAAAAAAAAATGGGAATATTTATCTTGATTAATATTTTTAATCTGGTATTTCAACACGTATTATGAACAATAAGAACATTATATATATAATTTCAAGTTTTTTTTTTTTTTTTTTTTTAGCTTTTTGTAAATACAATTATAGCTCAACAATTAATAGAAGATACAAATACAATAAACGAGAAAGAATACAAAACAAAATATAATATTACAAAAATTAAATTCTAAAGCCAGCCTCCAGAAAGATAATTTCAAGTTATTTGACAGAACACAAATATTTTAATCGACAATAATTTTAAAAAACTAAAAAATTCCAGTTTTTCCTTAATTTGTTTTTGTTTTTCTCAACCCCTTTGAAAACTACTTCAGAATTTTCAATTTTGACCTTTTTAAAGTACAAACTAGATTCATTTTCCCGCCAGAAAAGATACTAAAGTTGGCGATCAAACAATTGTTTCGACTACTTATCGTGTATACATATTACATACACACACAAAACACACACACATTATATAAACTTATCGAAAGAAATACAAATGGAAATTTGAATCACACAATTAAGTCAGAAAATCAGATTATTTGTTTTTCAATTTAATATAACAAATTGTTAAAAAAATATCAATTTAGGTGCTGATTTAATACATTTTTTCCGCGTTATAGACAACGCTGCCGGAACTACCTGCTTACTACGTCCACAGAGCTGCCATCGTTTTTGTATTAACATAAAAATAATATAGGTACAGATCACAGATGTAATGCAATTTGCATGTTACATGTTTATAAGCATTGCTTACGTTACACTACTTACTTTTCGATTATCCTACACATTTCAATTAGAAAATTCCTTCATTTTTTATATATTACTAAGAGCCAAGATTTTAAACATACCAAAGTAACTGAATATGTTCGTATATAGAAGTCAGCAGATCTAAGATTGTCTATTGAGTTCAGTTAAAAGTTTAAAGGTTGACTAGGTAGGTACTTTATAAATAGCGATATTGTTAAACAATTAATTCAAACATCGTATAAAAACAAATATTAAATTTGAATATTTGATTAGATAATCAATATGCGAAGGAATTACATATATTTAGGATAATAATCATTAAAAAACCAATATATTGAGATTTTTAGTAAAACATATAAAATATCAATTTAAAAATATGTATTTAATTAATACATAGGTACATTAATCATGTTATGAACTAAACCTAAATGTTCCTTCAATGTTTTATTATACGTAAATTGTCTTTCACAAATATAACATTTAAATTTTGGTTGTACTCCACATTCGAATTTAAGATGTCGCCAAAGCGACCGTTTATTTTTGTATGATCTTCC